CGGGATCCATGGCCAACCCCTTGTCAGACAGGCGATACCCCAGGAATTCCACCTCCTTGGTATGAAACTGACACTTCTCCAGTTTCACCCACAGCTGGTTGGCTTGCAGCCTGCTCCACACTTCTCTGACGTCTCTCACATGCTGCTCCTCATTCTCAGAATACACCAACACGTCGTCTAAGAAGGCCACACAATTCTTGTAAAGCAACGGCCCCAGGACGTGGTTCATAAACGATTGAAATGTTGCGGAGCCTGCTTGTAGACCGAAGGGCATAACTAAGTATTCAAATGCCCCTAAAGGGGTGAACATGGTGGTTTTCCATTCATCCCCCTTCCTTATTCGTATCAGGTTGTACGCCCCCCTTAGATCCAGCTTGGTAAAAATCTTTCCCTTCCGCACCCTTGTCAAAATGTCGTCAATCCTGGGCATCGGGAAGGCCACTGGTTCTGACACTGCATTTAAGGCCCTGAAGTCACACACCAGTCTCGGCTTGTTCGTGTTTTTGTCCACAAAAACACTGGGCTGCCCCCACCGCCCTGGACTCTCTGATGAACCCTCTCTTCAGGTTCTTGTCAATGAACTCTCTTAGCTCCTGCATCTCTCTGTCTGACATGGCGTACAGCTTGCCCACAGGGAGCTGTGCCCCAGGGAGCAAATTGATTTGACAGTCAAAGGCTCTATGCGGTGGTAGTTGGTCAGCTTCCCTTTCGCTGAAGACGTCGCGGAGATCTGCGTATTGTCGTGGTACCTTCACGTTCTCCGTCACTTCAGTCCCTGCTAGAGTGGCTTGGGCCCCTGCCAAAACCCTTCCCTCTTTGCAATGTTCTAAGCAATGTGCTGACCCAAAAGAAACCACTCTTTGATGCCAGCCCACCAGCGGATCATGTAACGCTAGCCAGCTCATCCCCAATATAATGGGAGCTCCTCCCAAGGTGGCCACATTAAATGCTATTAGTTCGGTGTGCCTTGCCACCTTCATTATCATTGGGACGGTCTGCAAGCTGACTTCTCCTCCCAACAGCTCCCTGCCATCGATCGTGGTTACCTGCAGGGGGTTGCTTAAAGGAGCGTCTGTATCTGGTGTTCAGCTGCAAACTCTTTGCTCATGAAATTGCAGGAGCTGCCTGAGTCCAACAGCGCCTTTATCTTTAGAGGGTGTCCGTTTGGCAGCTCTAGTGTCACTTCTATCACTAGGGCGGGTTTAGGAGGTTCTGGAGTGGGCACTTTCACTGCTCTTTGGCCTGGCTGCTGTGCCCCGACAATGGCAGCCAGGCGTTGGCTTTTAGTTGCTCCGGTATTTTTCCTCTCTTCCCTCCACAGCTCCCACCATCCCTTGCCATTCCTTCCTCTGGGGGCAGACTCTGGCAAAGTGCCCTGGCTGTTGGCAGAGATAGCATTTCCGGGCGCCTTTTCCATCCTTCTTTCCCCCTCACTGGGCTTTGAAACTGCGCGCGCGCGCTGTTCCGATTTCCATCGGCTCTGCCGGCGGGACAGTTGGCTCTGGAATGTCTGGAATGCGGAACTCCTTCCAACGTTCCCCTTTCCCTTCCCGCCTCTCCAATGCTCTCGCCTCCTGGCGCGCTCCTATGGCCAGCGCTGATTTGGTCAGCTGGTCCATAGACTCCGCCCTGGGCGCCCGGGAAAGTTCATCTTTCACAGCCGAAGAAAGCCCTTCTTCAAAGAGCATTTGAATGGGTTCCGCCGATAAGTCCCACCCCAATCTGTGTATCAGCATGGTGAACTCAGTCCAGTACTCACGTACAGATCGGCTCCCCTGTTTGCAAGCCATTAACTGTCTGCGCACCACTCCCTTTTCAATATCGCTGGAAAACATCAGATCCATGGCGCGAAAGAACTTCATCGTGTCCTTTAGGACGTCACTATGCGCTGCCATCAGGGTCTCACCCAGTCTCTCGCCCCCTTTTCAAGATGCCCAATCACAAAAGCCACTCGTGATTCCTCATCAGGAAATCATCAAACTGCAGATTGAGGGCATATTGCATTTCTGTCCGAAAGCTATGATAGTCTTTGGGCTCCCCCCCAAATTTCTGCACCAATCCTGGTACCTTTCTGGCGAGCTGGGTGGCTTTCTCCCTTTTGTCTGCATCTTGAGCCCTCCTCTCCTCCAGCCTCGCCGTCTGCAGCGCCAGCTGGACCTCCAACACCCGGTACCTTTCTTCCAGGCTTGGACCCGCTCCAGCCCCTGCTTCTCCGGTTCCTGCTGGGTTGCTCATTATGCCTTCTCCTGCACAAGCTGCGTTCAAAGACTGTCGGAATGCTGTGATGGGATTATGAGCTGCTTGTGCGTAAAATCGTATTCCCTCAGAGTTTGTTCAAGTCCACAAACCTCTGTCTGTGACTGAGCCCCTCTGACATGGCTCCTCTAGTCACTAGAAGATTCCGACAGTGGTTGCTTTCGTAATCGCTTCCAACATAAAAGCTCCTTAACGGAAACACGTCTTCTGGACTCTCTGCGTGACAGTTTCCGGCGAGGAGTGGGTGTCGCTACAGGAGGTCCGGAAACCTCACCACTGTTTTCGCTGGAAGTATCTCTGAGCCATCCCCCCAGCTCCCTTTCCCTCAGTTCAGCTTCTCTCCCCTGCTGGTTTCCTCTTCCGCTGCTGAGTCTCTTCCAACCTGTCTGAGCCCTTTCACCTCCCTCAGTTCAGCTTCTCTCCCCTTGCTGGTTCCCTCTTCAGCTGCTGAATCTCTTCCAACCTGTCTGAGTCCTTTCACCTCCCTTCCTTCCGATGGCAGTTCCCTGACAATATGGAACTTGCCGAACTGACCGGCAGACTCCGAGACCAGAGAGAAGAGACGGTGGAAGAAGATTGGAAGAAGTTTAAGGAATATTTGAAAAAATATGTTAATATTTAAATCTTAGAATTGCTTTGGAAGTGGATATAGGCGGTAGGGTTAGAAGCAGAAGACAGTGTATTATATAAGTGATAAAATGTGAATTTTTTAATGGTTAAAATAAGTGTGTGGGTGGGTGGGGAAAGATGGTTAGAAATTATGATATATGTAAACTGCTAAAGATGAAGTAAAATGAAAATCAGATAGGTGGGACTTGGGGAAGCCCACCTTGAGCTCTTTGGAGAAAAGGTGATTTGGAAATGTAATAATAATAAAAAAACAGGCAAGACCTTGTGTTGGGAGCGCATGCAAAGCGCCATTCAACCCAATGGAAGATTCACAGTCATGTAAAACAGCAATTCTGGTTTGGGTGCAACAGTGGTAAAAAAAGGCCAATCCCTCCTCTGTGAGATTTCAACCCTTGCCTCTTTGAAAACAGGAAGACGATGTGACATTTCCAAGATACTTTCAAATATTATATATGACCACGGGCAACAGAATATGAATAGCTATTTACATTCCCCCCCCCCCCCGGCTTGTAACCCCTCAAAACAACAACAGCCCGTTGGCTAGGGCTAGTGATTCAATTCTATTGCATGCCACTTCAGTCTCTGATAGGTGTGAGATTCCAGGGTTCATTTTTCCTTTTGGAACGTGGCACAGCGGAGACTGTAGTGTTTTTATGATGCATGGTTTATTTGCACATATATACAACCTGAGCATCCGACGGAGGGGTTCACAGCATTAACACCCCCAATGTTTCTCCCACAGGCACAGCCTTGGATTCAAGCACAAGTCAAACATTTCTCTCTGTCTCCCCAGCTTGCTGCTTTACTTCTAGATCACATCCTTGCCCCTTTCTGCTCTTAACTCAGGCTTCGTCCTAACTATCTCTGAGTTGAGGGAGGGATTTGCCCCCACCCATTTTTCATCTCGCACAGAGCCCTTTCCTTTGTTCTCTTAATGGCCCATCACCCAGGTGATCGCCTCAATGCAGGAAGCTAGTCTGACTTATATTGTAACACTTGCTGGATCCAGGGGATCGAAGGGGTTCAACTCCCCCCCCCCACTGCCTCAGCTCATAACAGTACATTTGGGCAGTGGAAACAAGGTTTGTCAAGGAGTTCACAGGCCACTATTCACAGGGAATGGGCATTTGGCTTGGCAGGTCAGAAAATGTGAAGGCTGCCCATGTCTGGCTAGACGTAATCTGGACAAACGATAAGATGTGAGCATATGAAAAGCAAAAGACGACCCTCCTTTTGGTGGAGCAAAATATGGGAACCACATTACCTTATGTTACATCTAAAGCAATAAATTTCATGAGCACTCTGAGAAATAATAGTATATACAGGAGTCAGTTGGTATATTTAGTTTTACTGTAGCGGCTGGTTCCTTGCCTCACTGGGAGGCTGCACAGTCAAAGCAGGAAAGCTTTACATTCCAGTAAGACATATGGAATGAGATAAGCTCCATTCCTATCCTCGGATGAAACACTCCCTCTAATAGCAAACTAACGTGGTGCGTGCCAACAGAAATGGAGCCAGAATGGGTAGGGAGGCCTCATTCTGTTCAGGGGAACCCCTGGGTTTCCAGAAGTACAAAAGAAAACTGGGTGTGTGGAGCAGCCCAGGAATGGATTGAGCCCCTTGCAGATTATATCAACCTGAAGCTGGCTGACCGATTTGCTGCCACCGTGAAAATGAACAATCCTGACAGGAGGTGAATCTGACATCACTGGGTTCAATTCAATTTTTTGTCTATAGCCAAAGGCCTTCACAATGAACAGTACAGGGCAAAAAGCAAAACATTCCCCTGAAATCAAGCAGCATGTGTCTATAATTTAGCATAACATCTAAAATCACAGTGCATTAACATAACCAGGCTGAAGCTTCTTAGCTGCCAGAGAAAATTTGGCTCCCAGATGTGGCATTTGTAGGCATTTATTGGCTAAGAGTTCAACCATCACTTCCTGGGGGGATCGATCTGAGAACCAATAGACAGCAGGAGATTTAAAAAAAATTCTCTGGGACCATATATCAACATATAGTGCAAGATATCCTCAACCTGATGGCATCCGTAAATTAAGGTTACCAGATATTTTTTCAATGAATCCGGGGACTCAATCAATAATTTTTTTTTTAAAAAGAGAGAGGAATAAAGTTATTTAAAAAAGAAGAAGTAATATCTTCTCTTCTGTGGTCTCCTCTGTTACGCATCCTTCCTCTGGGTCCTGGCCTTTCTTGGAGCACTAGTCATACTCCCCCCCGCTCCTTGCACTGCGATCCCCTACAGGCTTCCTCAGGAGTAAGTGTTAGCAGAAACCCCCTCCTCCTGCTGCTGCCCTGCCTGCCTGTCTGGGCATCTCCTGCGCAGGCATCGTCCGGCAGCCACCCATCCATGCCGTGGTGCACCCAGTCAGTGGGTTTGGGGCAGAGCCAGCAGCGAGCGAGTGGGAGGAGGCGTGCTTGGGCCAGATCAGCTTTTCTCCTGCTCGCCTCTCGTCCGTGATGGCCAACGATGAGCCGCCACTTCCAAGTCAAGGAGCACAATGGTGAAGCCGAGCAGCTGAAGCCACCCAAGCACCAGCTGGAGAACGAGCCCGAGCCGACGGCCTTGGACAGCGGCGCCGATGGCGAGCTGAGTGCCAGGTTGCCAGGTTGCAGTGGCACACCAAACCCAATGACCCCGCGCAGCTCTTGCCTGGCAGTGGCGCCCAGCACCGTGTCTTCTGCCCCTAGGCTGGCTCCGGGCTGCTGAGACTGCAGCTGCCACTGCTGCTGCCACATTTCCCAGGGACATTAGATGAAATCTGGGGACATTCTAGGGATGGAATTTGTCCGGGGACAAATGTGCAAATCCGGGGACTGTCCCTGGGAAACGGGGACATCTGGTAACCCTACCATAAATGTATTTTCCCCTTTCCATGTGTGCTGAGGGCATCTGACAACCCTGGGTTACTATTACAGGTCTCTATGTGAGCCTCCTAATTATTAAAAAATTAAAAACAAAGCAGCAGCACCACACGGGGGGGGGGGAGAGATATTGGAACGCTGAGGGGAATGTTATGAGCCACACAGAACACATGGTCTTGGGTTGGTGGGTTCTGACTGAGGAGAAGGAAGACCTTATGTTCTCCATTAGACAAATCCATGGCGGTTGAGGCCTTCAATGTCTGCCAGCCATGATGGCTGTGTTCTGCCTCCACTGTTGGAGGCTGTGTGCTTTGGAGGAAAGAGGGCTCCTGTGCTTAAGGTTTCCCACAGGTATCAGTTTGGCCACCGTGAGAACAGGATGTTGGACTAGATGGCCTTTGGCCTGACCCAGCAGGCTCTTCTCAGGCTTTTATAAAAAAGGAAGAGAGTGGAGGTCTGAATTGTGGAGGACAGAGAAGTTCTCCCCTTTCCACATTGACTTCAGTTGCTTTGGAAAGAGGAGCAGGGATGCTAACTATCCCCTCACTCATTGTATTATCTCATGTGCCTCCTTTCCTTCCAGCCCACCTCAGGTGAAGACCACTGCCCTAAGACATGAGTCACTTAGGCCGTGAGAACCTATGACTCTGATTACGTCAAAAGGACCTTCTGAAAAGTCCCTTAGGCCATTCACCTTTCCCTGAAGTTGAAGGCAACCCTGAACTTCAAGTCCTTGGAAATGCTGGTCCAACTCGTTCCCCTGCTAATGTGTGAACTCTCGTAACACCATCCTCTGTGTTGCCTGCGTTATGTAACCTGGGTCCAGTTTAGCCAGCTTTGCCTCTGTGTAGGTGGTGACATTTCAGGAAAGGCAAAATATGAGGCTAACCTGCCAAGTGGTTCAACAGCATTCAGGGTAAACTGGGGCTGTGAAACTGAGCGTTGTTAGGGCGGATTTGCTTGATCATTTCGGTAAACACCTTGATCCAGAGTCCTAGGTGCATTCATGTCATGGTGGGATACCAGTCCTTGTAAGGAGTCCCATTTTATTTCTGCTGTACTCTTTACTTGAAATCAAAGAGGTCAGTTGTCTTGGGCAGAACCTTGCCAGGAATGCACTGGAGTTGCCCAGAGTGCTCGCTGAATCAGGCCGAAATGCTGAAACATGCAACTTGTGTTTCATTTGGACCACTCTAATATCCACAATGCAAATTTCATCAGCATATATTTGAGTGAGACAAAAGCCTGTACGATACAGGGAAGCACTTGAGAACAATGGGAGCTATGAATTAGGCCTTGTAAAATCCTCTCCAAAAGAAGATTGTCTCGCTTGCCTTCCAAGCGTTGCATCATTTTATCTAGTGACCCATAATAACAGTCCAAATACTGTATCGCTCTTAGAAATCTGCTCCAATAAACTGAGGCCATGAACCTGGAAGGTCTGTAGGAGTTATCTGTTGTTGATCCTTTGTGCAGGGTTATATATGGGACGAAGGAAACAAGCTAGTTTCAGACTCTGGGCTGAACCAGACTTGCTGGGAAAATGCTGACTTCCACTTTTTATTTTCACCCTGGAACTTGGCCCATGGCTCAGACATTGGAGTAGCCTGGGGAAGTAGCAGGTGTAGCCTTGACCTCAACTTGGCCCTATAGGTTCAGCCCTTTGCCTTCTCCCCTATAAGTGATTGGGATCCATTTGGTCCCACACTTGGGAACAATGACGCCTCTTCTGATCTTGGGTAGCCCCACCAAGGAGGGCATCGTTAAGAGATGTTGTGCCCCTTCCTTAGGACACAGAGTCTTCCTCCACACACATTCCACCTAGCATAATAATTAGGGTTGCCATATTTCAAAGAGTGAAAATCCAGAAATGTTGCAAAATATCCAAAAGAAATGAAGTTTCTTATCTATTTTTTTCAGGAAAATTGCGGGGGGGGGGGGACCCGCACCTCCGATATGGGCTGCCATACGCCTGGGTTTTCCTGGACATTTTTGCCACTTTCTGGAAATTACGCCCAGACACCATTTCCGAAGGACGAATCCCATATGGCAGCCCTAATAATGATAGGCATTTTGATGGTTAGTAAGAAATGTGAAATCCTTCATTAGACTGTAAAAGACACAGCTTCAAGGTGGACTCTATCGGTCACTAATTCACGCTGAGCAGTGTTTGCACACCCTAACAGTCCAATGGACTTCAGGTACTCAATAAAAGCAATAAGCATGGTGTAATTTGGCCCCAAGATTGTGATCAGCTGTGGAATGAACTGTGCATTTCTTTGTTTTGGCACTGGGTGAGTAAGATTTTTTTTTAACCATACTTCTAAGCATAATCTTCATTGCAATTGTACATTATACAATTATCATTGTTAGTATCTTAAACTACACGCACACTGTGGCATCATCACGGTTGCGATAACAGAAACTAGTAATGTAGCAACGAGGCAGCAGGTGACTGTACATACAATGTTTGCATAATGCATCGCTTATTGCTGAAGCTCTCTGGAGAGTACAAAATGTTTTATATTTTTTATATTATTTATCTTCCTATTAGACTGTGTTGTTTCATTAATAGTGAAACTGCACCACGCAATTATCACACATTACTGCTGTGATTCATAACAGTGTTACCCAAAGCCCTGTCTTCACACTCACAGTTTTTTTATTTTTTATTTTTAAGCCAGGTGGATTCCAAGGGAGCAGAGATCAAACTCGTTCAATGTCCTGGAAAGCCCCAGGATTGTTTTAGATTATACTGTGTGACTCGCAGGTGAATTCCAAATATAGGTAAAAGGTAAAGGTAAAGGACCACTGGACAGTGAAGTCCAGTCAAAGGCGACTATGGGGTTGCAGCACTCATCTCACTTTCAGGCCGAGGGAGCCAGCGTTTGTCCACAGACAGCTTTCCAGGTCATGTGGCCAGCATGACTAAACCACTTCTGGTGCAACCGGAAACCATGACGAGTGCCAGAGTGCAGAGAAACGCCGTTTACCTTCCCGCCACAGTGGTACCTATTTATCTACTTGCACTGGCATGCTTTCGAACTGCTAGGTTGGCAGAAGCTGGGACAGAGCAACGGGAGCTCACCCCGTCGCGGGGATTCAAACTGCCGACCTTCTGATCGTCAAGCCCAAGAGGCTCAGTGGTTTAGATCACAGCGCCACCCGCATCCCAGTTCCAAATATAGTTAGTATGGGGTGCTCTAACTCACTACAGGAAGACGGCACAGACTACACTCGGGCCACTTTCAATATGGAATCTGCTCTTTGTGAAGCTGCTTTGGAGAGATAATTTAAGTTAAATGGAAGGTACCCAAACAATCTTCTATCAGCTTCAAGCTGAGGAACTACTAAATAATTCAAACCTGCACATTCTGGAAACTAGAGAGATGGGCAAAATCGATCAGGGCTGTAAGTGTTTTGTTGGCTGAAGACCTAATTCACATGCTTAACCTTACAGATCTGATGAGCCTTATTGACTTCCCTGAACATCACTTCAGTTAGTAAGTACTTTGTTGATAAAAGGCCTCTCTTGGAAAGATTGCTGCCCCTTAGAACCTTGTGTGCTGTAAAACAGTCTTCCAGATCACTCAGAACATTTTTTTTAAAAACACAAGAAGAAGAATTTGGAAAATAATGTCACTATAGTTCTCTCCGATGGGTGGAAAACCCCATATAGCAGACGATAAAGGGATGTGGCACATGTTTCCATTTCTGAATGGATAACGCATTAAAATGCAGTAGGTTAAAATTACCATTCAATTGCTTGCACTTGGCCAGGAAATAATTCCCAATATGAAAAAGGGTTTTAACTTCTTCAGAAAGTTTCAGAAGTTACACACTAGCATTTTTTTAAATCTCTGGTGTGCTGTGCATAATCCTAATTCATGCTTTTGGGCCAATTTTGCAATATATGGGGTGAATCTGTCCATTTTCAAAACCTGTGAAACAGCCTTTAAGTTGAAAGGTTTAATCCTCATTGATAATAATAATTTTATTATTTATACCCCGCCCATCTGTCTGGGTTGCCCCACGAAATCTCTGTTGGGATGGGTAGGGTAGGATAGGATACTATTTATTAATTATCCTTCCTCTTACACACTTGAGTGAGATTAACATCCAGTTAGCAGAGTTTACATATCTGCCATCCTTTGCAGCATCAAATGTGGAAGCTCAGAGACTCAGGCTGGGCCAGACACCATCTCTCTGCATAACCTACAGGGTGGCGATGAGGAGAAAATTCTGGGACAGGAGTGTATTGTCCCTAAACCCAGAAGGGCCCCAGAACCGACTTTAGTTCACATTGCTTAAAGATTTTGGGTCAAGTAGACCCAATTTGAGTCACATGACTCAAACTGATTTTTATTTTGTATATATTTCAACAATCCCAAAGTTTGAGAGTCAGTAGCACAGATTTTGTAAAGGTGTGGCAATCTGTTGTGGAACAACTCTATTGAAGAGCGTAACAGGGGTTACCCAGACCTCGTTGCCGGTTGTTCAGGGGCCCCCATGACAGTTCAAGCTTCAGGGCCCCCCAAATGCAGGTCTGCCACTGTACTGGGGAGGAGGGTCGGGACTTGTAAGTCATTTTGAGCTCTTGGGACGAAGGACAGGATAAAAATATAATAAAAAATTCTTCCTGGCTCGAAAACGTGTTTCAACACCAATTGCTTGAAAGCTTTATGTCACCATAACTTTTCTCTTTAAGTGCTTGCTCAATTCCTGTTTTCTGGGTAACTCCAAAGCTTATTCTAGAATTGTCAACTTTAGTCCAGTACAGTCATACCTTGGAAGACAAACAGAATCCATTCCAGAAGTCCATTTGACTTCCAAAACGTTTGGAAACCAAAGTGCAGGTTCTGATTGGCTTCAGGAAGCTACTGCAGCCAATTGAAAGCCGTGGAAGCCGTGCCAGATGTTCAGCTTCCGAAAATCTTTCGAAAACCGGAACACTCACTTCTGGTTTTTGATCATTCAGGAGCTGAAACGTACAAGTTCCAAGGTGTTTGGCAAGCAAGGTACGACTGTATTACTGTTTCTTCCTGAGCATGGATAGGGAGTCTTTGGCACTCCAGATGTTGCTGAACTGCAATTTTCAACAGCCCCAGCAAGCACATCTGTTATTAAGTATAGCAGTTGTGTGCTTTCAAACTGCTAGGTTGGCAGGAGCAGGGACTGAGCAACGGGAGCTCACCCCGTCACGGGGATTCGAACCACCAACCTTCTGATCGGCAGGCCCTAGGCTCTGTGGTTTAACCCACAGTGCCACCCGCATGTAATTAAATCGGCACTAATGTCTTTGAATCGTAACCTAGGCATCACCGTGAATGGGGCAACTCACCTACGCAGTTGTATCGTCTTTGCTTACTCTACACAGACAAGTGCAGTTAAAACTGGCTTTGACAACATCACTAGAAGGCAGGAATATCCATCCTTTTGGTGCTTTTGTTTCCCTGGTCAGACTTCTATATCTGAATGAAATGGAAGGTTAACAAAAGGTATTTGCACAAATCAAGAAAACACCCGCTCCCCGGGGCTGCTTCTTTTTACATCACTTTCTCCAGTTAAGCATCTCTCATGAATGGGTGGATTACAAGCACCTGTAGCTGGCAGATTACAAGAGCCAATGTCTGATGCGACTTGGTGCAAAGATATTTGAGTGATTCCCGGAGACATGGATCTTGAGTTGGGACTTTATGAAGATGGGTGTGGGTGGGGATGACTTAATAGAGAAGGGGAGCCTATTCCAGGAACGTGGAATGGAGAAAGCAAACTGTATGGTGATGAAGTAAAAGTAAAAGTTAGCTTCCCCCACCCCCCACCCCAAAGGCATTACTAACAGGAGCATTACTCAGAGTGTGTAAACAGGACTCCCCTCTCAGGAAAGTTGACTCACCCAGCATTGTCTGCTCCCCATTTAATCAACACCCATTGTTTACTCCCCATTCCCAGGGGGCTAAGTGAATTTGTGCCACACACCCTGACATCACTGGCTCCTACAGGAACTAGTATAGCAATTCATTCATGGCTGAGGTGAGGCTCGCAGTGCATACTCTCAATTGCTATGCTGTGTTTGCACCAGTTGGGATAATATTACTTCAGGCACTCATTTGCCTGCAGGAAATGTGACCATGAGATTAGTCTGACATCATCCAGGTGCATAACTGAATCATAGAATTGTGGGGTTGGAAGGGACCCCAGGGCCATCTAGTCCAACCCTCTGCAGTGCAGGAAATCTCAAGACATGGTCCTGCACCCAATCTGAAACCGCACCAGACCCTGTTTAGCTTTGCAAATGTGCTGGCAGTTTTATTACTGCACCACTGGCAAACAGTACCTTGAGTTTTGTTCTGTCACTTCATTCCCCAAAGAATGGGAGGCTGAAAGCTTTAAAGTGATCCAACAGTCTAATTTTCCAGATTATATAATATCTGTTTAATCTTTTATGTAACCAGCACAGGGATTATGTTCATGTGAGTGACTATGAGCGGGATTCCTTCTGTCCTAGGCGGGTGTGGGTGGGTGATATTTGCAGAATGCGGACATGAACGATCTGAAAACCGTACAAAACTAGTAGGCAGACAACTCCTTCGGGTAAGAAGGAGCTGGAGAGGACTGGGGGTTAATCTGCATGTCCTATTTGCATATAATTAACATCCTGTGAAGCAGGCAGATTGATTTTGAAGAAAATGGATCTTTGAAAGAGTAGCAAGAGGGACTCCAGTCCCTATTTGTTTTCCCCACCAGTGGCTTCCTTCCTGCAGCTAATTCTAGATCAATATTTTTGCTGTAAACAGTATGGGACTATGTAGAGGGGGAGCAGTTTAGGAGTAAGTTTCTAAGGGAAAGCAGCTGGTAGGGGAAAGGTTTGACCACCCCATATTTTCCTGCAGTTTCCTCATGGAAAACGGGCTCCTCTGGATGACACATTGCAAGGGGGACACAGCTGTCAGGCTCTGAAAGCAGGACACAGGGGAAAGAATGCAGGTAACTACAGAACACCATATAAACTATACAGATAAATCAATTTCTGTTTTACGCAGTTTCCAAAGTTCAGAGGTGAATGTAGCCAAAAAGGCACTAGCTATGCACAAGAGAAAAGGCATTGACTGCATAGAGCTTTTACCATAACCAAGAGGTA